GGAGTTTTACACAAACAATTGCACTTCAATTCCATTATGCTTTCTCCGCTTATTCTTAATTCACAACAAAGTATTAACATATCTAATACATCACTTTCAAATCTTAGTAACAATAGTTATGAAAACTTGTAACCTATTTTTCACACTCTATTTGCCAAAATTAACAGTAGGTTAATTATTCTGTTTGGCCAATTCCACTTACAATCTACTCTCACTCATTTATCAAGTTTGATAGGATTGACTTCTTCTTCTATTTCTTGTCCTACGCTACAAATATGAGTTAATGTAATAACCCGGAGGTACCAATTTCACAGTTACGTTGATGAAATTTTACAGAGCAGTTCTTACACTGTAATTGCTAATTCATTGCATGTTACAGTTATCCAACTTCATGTCCAAGCACACTAGCAAAGTAAAACTTATAATCTTTTTTCCACATTGAGTATGCTAAGCTAAAAACTATGTTATTCATTATGCCTACCCTGTTCAAATTGTCATCTACTGCCCTAGCTATCAAGTTTCAAACAATCAATTTCTTCTTCTATTTATCCTATGATTATGCAAATACGAGTTAACTAACAAACAATAGGTAGCAATTTCACATTATGTTCACGCAATATTACATATAAGTTTTGCTACTGTAACTGCTGACTCACTGCATGCAACAGTTATTCAACATGACGTCCAACCCCACTAGCTAAAAAATCTTGTAATCTTTTTCTCTGCAATGCGTCTACCAATCTAAGCGTTATGTTATTTTACTCTGCATAACAATTTTACTCCGCGTCATTATATATTCATATGAAATATCTCTTATACAACATGTTGTAAGAGGCATTCTTAAGGGAACTATCTTTGTAGCACTTTTTTTTCGTTTTGTATGTTGCCATGAATAGTATGTACAAACTACACATAACATATAATCTGCACACAGGCGCTACTAACCAACAAAATCTATAAGAAATTCATAGAAACAACCAGTACCCCTGTTATATAATGACTACACTATTGCTACTAATGTGAGAGTTATGACCCCTATTTATCCCATCCTAACAACTCCCTCTACTAATTGGTTTGGAAGTTCTCCTTTTCTTTTTGGCAAACACTTGGTGTTCAAAATTTCTCTCTACTTTACTCTCCCATATGGCCCATGAACAAATCTAATTTCTAACATCTATAGAGTTTCGACAACCATGATATAAAATCATGTGATGCTATTCACCAAACAATGGAAATTATGTCATTAGTTTGCAATATTGTTACCTGTAGGGTTTATGTAGATGCGATTGGGTGTCACTGCTTTGGACTCCATCATCTTTAGCTTCATTGTTCAGTCCTGACCTTCCCCAACCCTTTATAGATATTAGACCTCCAAGACTTTCTCCTTCAATAGGTAATTCTTCCTTTTCCTAAGAGTGTTTTGACTGCTCTTCTTCTGCCTCTTGTCTGCAACTTTCCTATTCATTGATTGTATTTTGCCTTAGTTCTAAAGTTGTAGATGAATATTGACAACTTTTTGGAGGGAAACTAAAAAAAGTTTTTCGTACCAAGAATTGAAATGAAGTCATAGCGAGTCAATTAGGCAGGATTTTGTGGAAGGGAGTTTCAATGGTTGGTAACGGAGGCGTTAAGCTCAGACATAGTTTTTAGAAATTTTTTCCTTGCTCATTAATCAAAACGACTCTGTTTTGAGCTTTGTCAACGTGGATTGATGATGGCCACTTCTTCAGTTTTGTGAGGGAACCGTTCAGGGACTATCATTCTGCGTGCCACTTCTTCAGTTCTGATGACCGTCCCTGCCTCGTATCCCTTTTGAGCAATCTTTTTTTTCTTTCTTTTTCCTTTCACGCGTGCCTTGTATTCGACAATAGTCCCGAATAGAAAAACGGCTTTGGCTTCTTGATTATTAGGGAAGCAATATGATGTTTTCGAACTCAATTGAATTGCGTGGCGATTTTCTCATGAGGCGTGGCTAAGCCTTTCATCTAGTCAAGGATCAATTCGATGGCGCAGTCCCGAATATCTGTGAGATCTAATTAGTTTTCACGCGTTCCTTAATTTGTTAATATTTGCACGTTGTCTATTTGAATTTTCGTGGGATTATTTTGTTAATTAGATGTCAAGGGCCCGATGTTCAATGCAACTTATTAATCTCTTGTCAAATTAGTCAATTAAATCCGTAATTATTTGATTGATTAATATTAGTGGAAACTAGCGTGTTTACACACTGGGGGAACGTGCAATCTAATTTAAGTAACCCTCGTAGCATGTTATTGATTGGAGTTAGGTTTTTCTAGTTCTTAATGCAATTGAAAAATTAATTCCTACGGTCGTACCTAGGAGTATTTTTTGGTTAGGGGTAATCAATGGTCGTACCTTAGTTATCAATAAATTAAGGAAAAATTGGTCGTTAGAGTTCGTCGGTGACTGTAACTAACCTATTAATAAATTAAGTGAACCTCCCTTGCATCAATGATCGGGTGAGTGGACTGTGTCTGAGTAGTTGTATCCTTGGTTAGAACTTATCTATTCTTGGTTTAATTCTTGTTTACATTCGTGCTAGTTAATTATTCGTTTTTAGTTTAATTGTTTAATTATTTTTATTTTTACTCCGATAAAACCCCCCATCGTCAATTGGCACTTTAAAAGAAGTAAATTTTTGCCCAATCCCTGTGGATCGACCCTACTCACCGTTATACACAGAAAATTATATTTCCTACGAGTAGATAATCATTATTGCGTAGGCTCGACACCTGTCAATAATTCTTTGATTAACTTCTTTTAGCTGACTAATTTCTCCTGACACGCTAAAATCTTTGGGCCAAACAAAAATCAAAGAAGGACAACCGTTTTCAGAAAGAAGCAGGTAATGGATGTCAATATCCTTTCAGTGTTAGTAATTAATTTCCTTCTTCCTTCAATTCTTAAAGTAATTTATCAACTTCCATTAAATGAGAATGCTGAAACATGCTCATCTAACCTAACAAGCATATACTTTGTGGTAGAGTACCTCTAATTAGGTGAAACCATGTTGGTGAACTTCATGTGAAACAATTATCATTGATCTCCCACCTTCATTAGTCTTTTGAAATGTTACATATTCCAAGGGGGTTTCTTAATAATTATAAATTACTTTTAGGTTTGCTAGTCTTTCTTTGCTAAAACATAACAAATAGAATGCCACAATAACAAACCCTGTTTATTGATCATTCAAACTGTAAATTTTTGGATTGCGACTATTTATCTTAAAGTAGACATGCCAAAATAATTATGTTAGCTAAGAACCAAGAAGGTACTTAGGGTTCGTTATTTTACTAAAACAAATTCAACACTGAGCCTGGTACCCAGAATGACTAACTGTTAGCATAGTTGTTAGTACCACGAGTCTCTCTTGTTCTTGAGTGGAAAGGTATAACCCATTGTCCAATTTACAAAGGCCTTGCAAGATCTGGCAGGAACCTTTGAACGAGGATGTAGAAATTCTTGCATCCGCAATTGCAGAACCAAAACTTTGAACTTTTTCCATCCAAATGAATGATTGACACTGCAAACAGATGCTTCGTTTATGTCGTCCAAATGATCACCAATGCTGTCTACAATGTCTAACTTCTTTCCATCAAATCTTCTCACCTCTGGAACTAAAGTATCAGCACGTCTAGTTTTCTTCAAGCAAGTCTTGTATCTTGATAGCTCTCTAGTACTAGCTACCATGCTCCCCTCTACTTCTTCTCCATCCACATTACTTTCTACAAGCCTGGCACAAGCCATTCTGTTTTCAGCATGCTACAAGGAGAAAAGGTTCAGTGTTTGATTTATTTTGTTAAACACTTCTAGAAAATAGATTTTAAAAAAAAAAAGCCATTGAAATCGGCCAATAGACCGGCAATCAACATTTTTTACCTTCATTTCTGCATTCTGAGCAATATATGGCATTCTGGTGGGAAAACCCACAAATAACTACCTTCCATCTTCAAAACCTGACTGATAAGTTAAAATAACTTCTCCCTCTTTCCATCCTCATAAGAACAACACGGGAACCTTGGTGTTCTTTGTCGAAAAAGCATGATCTCTGCTTCCTAAACAAATTCTGGAAAAAAAATCACAATATTACACCGCAGTGCTACTTCAATTATGACACCAAATAGAAACATGAGCCACAGAAAGGTTTGGTCTGGTAATTGGTGCAAAAATTTATCACTCAAAATCCTAAAGAGTAAAAATTAAGCTAAATTACATTGATTAAGCCATAAAGAACACATACTAGTGCAAATGCCACCCTATATTTAGGCACAATTACATGACTCAAACATACTTGCAAACTTGGACCAATTTTCTTGTACTTCTAGTAAGTTGGGTGGAGACATTTCCAAACCACATACCTCCTCATCTTTCTTCAAAAACGATTGGAAACCACAGCCTGATGGTGCAGTTGAAGAATATGAAAAGTGCAATAAGATGCTTTAGAGGTTCCTGACTGACTAAAAAATGTAGATAAAATATATACTCTCTCATACACACACAAAAATTTAGATTTCATATTAGTTTCATTTTATCAAAATTATAAAGTAATATTTAAAAATTAATTCCATCTAAAGTTTAAAAAGATATTGGTATTAAATTTTATAATGCCAACCTTGAGGAGCATAATCTGAGTAATAATTACAAAGTAACAAATACACAACATTCCAGATTTCAGTGGTGTATCATGCTAGGCTTTGCTTAACATTGTACTGATACTAGAAGAGCAACACCCAATTCCAGGTAGTCTAAAGTCATATCTTGGTCCAATGGATTGATAAAATACAATTAAACCAGACAGAACCAGTATACAAGTATATCTTTCTTTTCACTTTTTCTAGATATGAATACCCCTTCCTTGAGAAACAATAAATTAATAAAGATATGAACAAAAAATAATGATAAAGAAAAAAAAGAATAAATAAATAAAACATATATTTCTCTGTTAATTAATTAAAACAGACATTTTACTTGCTGGTGCTGATAGAGATGATCATGATGATACTTGCTGAAGTTCCAGACTTTGCTGCATTGATAGAACTCGCAAAACGTCTGCATGCTAAGTACGACCAGCAGCGCCACAGTGGAAACCACGGCCAGACATTTCCATGAAGCATACCAGTCCTCCTTCTACCGTCTAACCGTCATGACCAAAAGTTTCTTGCTGTAGAAGTTGTTAACTTTGTCAATGGCAACCTCAATGTTGCAGTTCTGATCTGAGCCGGCGCAACATCTCTTTATACCATTGAATTGATCAGCAATTTCATCATCCATGAGAGCACCCCATTTTGCTTCAGCGGCTTCGCGTCCTCTGCAGTGTCTACAATCCCATTCATGAGGTTGACGTATCAAGGGTTGATTTACACATAACAGCCTCGTAATATATTTTATGAGAGAGTATAAAAGCTAAATAAGATGATACTTTATTGGTTTTAATGTTGTTTGGAAATGTCAGTGTCAGAAAAAATTAGTGAATTTCGTGGACAAATAGTCATACATAGTAGTGAATTTTACCATGCTTATTAATCCTTTTGATGGTTCAGAAAAGCAGATGAAATCCACAATTTTTGTTATCTTTCAATTTGCTCGTAACTCTACTTTGTTAATGACATGAATTAGCTTAAAAATTGAAAGAGAGAGTAATCTTCGCCAGAAGAAGTAGAGGAATAGATATTTATGGAGAAAAAGAGTGAGGGACAAATACGGGTAGAATGAGATGCTCCAATAATGAGAAGGAATTAATTAAAATTTTGAGATGAGATCTTACCGGATCAATTTCAAGCTCTGGAATATTAGAGATCTTGGGCCACTCGGAGCCGCTTTCGGTTAATAGAGGACAACCAATAATTTTCAGACGTCTTAATTTGAGGCGTTCCATGGCATCTCCAGAGGGTAAATATTCGAGCTTTCGGCACACCCATAGTTCTAGGATTTCAAGAGACGCAAGGTTCCCAAGCCAATCTGGTAAGGCTTCGATTGCTCCGAAGTTAAATAGAGATAGTGATGTGATGGTAGTCAAGTCTTGAAGCTGATGTGGCAGAGATTTCGTGTCACACATTCCATACAAAGACACGTGTTGCAGTGTTGATGAAGAAGCTAATCCAGCCCAATCAAATTCGATTACTGAGTAATCTGAGAAGGGACCAATCTTCACTTCCCTTAAGCTGGTAAGATAGCCAAATCCACTAGGCATCTCAGCAATCAAGTTGGAACACCCCCGTAACCAGAAGCTCTCGAGAGAAGGGGTCCGTCGCAAATCAAGGGGAAAGGAGACCAGACTGGGGCAATTGACCAAAGTCAGCTCTCGGAGAGACGTACACGACTCGAACATCTCCACTGGTAATCTTGTTAATGCATCGCACCCATTGACAGTAAATTGCTCAAGAGACTTAAGGAGGCCTTTCTGTCCAAATGAATTTTTAGGATTTGGATATCCAAATGAATCAATTCTCGGGCAACTCCGTATCATCAAGTCCTCTAAAGCTTGAAATTGATAAAGATCTTCTGGCAACTCCCGTAAATTCTCACAAAAAGTGATTGTCAATCTCTTAAGACAAGCGGCGCAACTCATTCCTCTTAATGTTGTTATACTATAGGTATACACCAATTCTACACGCTGAAGAGTTGGAAAAAGACAGAGTCGCTCAAGCATGTCAGTGGGTAGACTGTTACAGCCATCAATACTCAAGCTGCTCTCTGGTCGTCTCACTAATTTTAGAGACTCGATGCGTTGAAAACTACCACCACTTAATTCAAGGGACGAGAGTGTGGTTATATTGCTCAAAACCTTTTCTGCCAGCAATGCATGGCAATTCTCTTTGATTTCCAATACATCAAGACTTGGGAAACGACTTGGAGTTGGAATGGTGGTCAGCTGGAGGCAATCACTAATATACAACGTTTCCAGCAGGGGAAACACATCCATCACATGTACTTCACCTGCGGTTGACCTCATTTCGTGTGCGTCCTTCCACTCTTCCAAATTTTTCATGCTTTTAAGAGAGAGATTTTTGAGGAATGGCAGCTGTCCTAGCGCAGGGAGTTTTCTGCATCTTGTGCAATCCGCCACACGCAACTCCACCAGTGATGTCAATGTCAAATTCATGAACCACTGTGGAAACTGATCACCCATGAACTTCAAAATTTGTAACTCTTTTAAATTTGGGTGAGGTTGGAGGCCTTCCAACACATCTTCATCACATTTATCACTTTCCTCATCCCTATTGCCCCACTCAAATACCAACCGATACATATTTGGCTTTTTAGATAGGTTCGCTAGTTCAGCATCATCTTTGCCATTTACTAATTCAAGATTTCTGATCTCCAAGGAGCCTTTAAGATCTTGCAAGGTTCCAAGCTCTTGGATACCACGACCTTCCTCTTGACGACCTATGTTAAAGAACTTTAACGTTTGAAGACAAGTCAATCGTCCAATTTTGGATGGCATCTGGATTTTGCGTCCTGTATCATAATTATCATAGTGAAGATGTCTCAAGCTAATCAAATTGCTCATCTTCTTTGGAAAACCTTTTTCAAGCATGTAAATTCTCAGTGTTTGCAAACTATAAAGTTTGCAAAGAGATTTTGGCAAAGTTCTAATCCAAGAACCTGAAATGTCAAGTAAGTGTAAATGTATTAGTTTGCCAATGGAGGTCGGCAGCTCTTCGGTATATATTCCAAACAATTTTAGGACATGTAAGTATTTGAACTTTGATAACATATCATCAGCTATGCCACCCTCCAGAAATAATGTGCGAAGTGATGCTGATTTCTTTTCGTTCATGTTTTCTACCATTCTTTCAGATGCCGCAAGGTAACGGTCCTGATTGCTGCCGTTACAATTCAAAATTAATTTTGCAAAATCATGCACAAGATCATGCATTTTATACCATGTTCCCCTCCAATCTCTTACTTCTTCCAATAAGGATGTTTGCAGCAAAATTCTGAAATACTCACATCCTATTTTCTCCATCATTCTTTCATTTTGGGAATCCGGTTGAAGAAAGCCTTCAGCCATCCAAAGCTCAACTAGTAGATCTTGTTCCAATTCAGTATCTTGATCAAAAATTGAGCAATATGCAAAGCATTTCTTAACCGGTGCAGGTGACAGATGATCAAAACTCACCTTAAGTATTTGCTCAATCCCACCCTGATCTCCATTCAAGAGGCTCTCCTCCAAAATAGATAGCCACTCCTCTTTTCTCTTTTTAGATAGCAAACCTCCAATTAACTTTGCTGCCAAAGGTAGACCGTCACATCTTCTTAAAACTTGCTCCCTCATGTCTTCCAATTCTTTTGGTAATTCTTCCGCTACATTTGACCATTTTTTCATGATAGACCAGCAATCATCATCGCATAGCCTTCCCAGCTCATGGCGAGTAAAATTGATCTGCGGATGTCTAGACAGAATAGTTGCCACTTCTTGCAGACGAGAAGTAACAAGACACCAGCTCCCTTTCTTCGCATTGAGTCCCGCCAAAGTGCTGAAAAAGTCATTCAACAATACTTCTTGATCATTCCACAAATCATCAAGAACAAGGAAATATCTTTTTTCCCTGAGTTCATCTTGAATTTTTTGAACTATTACCTCCCTACGATCCCCTTCAATCTCTCTATCTGTTAACGATTTTATTAACGATTTTAGAATCATTTTGAAGACCACCTCGATTCTATCTACTTTTTCAGCCACACAAACCCACATTGTTTTGTCAAAATGTCCAACAATTTGTTCATTTTTGTAAACGGCTTTAGCCAGAGTTGTTTTTCCTAATCCTGGCGTGCCAGTTATGGGAATAACTGAAATAACACTTTCAGATTCGGTCAACAACTTCTTAACTATTTCTGATTCATCCTCGTCTCTTCCTATGACATCTCTTCGCACAATAGTAGAGTCGGTCTGTCGGCTTGTTGTGGCTCCAGCAGCAATAGTAGCGAATGCTTCTTCAACGTAGGCCAGTCCCAAACCTTTGGCATCCCGATGGATCTTTTCAAGGTTCGCGTTGACCCCCCTGATCATTGAACCCAACCTCCATCGAAAACCAATTTTATTAAAGAATGAAAAGCAGAAGAATACCTTCTTTTTCGTGAGTTGATTTTGATACTTCACCTTCCGACGAAGATTTTCATAGTTGAGCTCATCCAGCACATTGTCAGCTTTGAAAACCTCTTCTTCCAGCTGCTTGAGCCACTTTTGCACCCCAACAAGCTTCGGATCATGGCTATGCATTTGCTCGTTGGCACCAGCCAAGAAGCCTCGGATCATTTCAGCAGAATCGTTGAGTTTCTTCAGCTCCGTTGGGAATTCATGAACCAGATTAACATGATGAGCGGCAAGGGAAACAACTGCCTGCAATGCAACCTGAATAGTAGCACTAACAGCAGGATCAGCCATTTTTTCTCGCTTGGGACTGGAATTAGGATGAAAGTGTTCTGCAATGTTGATGGGGGAATGCTTTCTGCGATGGGACAAGGAAGGATATGGTTCAACTTCAGCAGCTAAGAGCAAAGTCAGCGGAGGCTAAAACTTGGGGAAATGAAATTTGCAACTCAACATCCAAATTTCTCCACTGCACGCTCTATCATCACTCCTGACAGGTGTGCGTGATTTACGGATCACAGCTCTAGCAGCTGCACGTTCTCTCAAAAGTCATAAGAGTAATATTAAGGCTTTGGAAAGCAGACATGTCCGTGATTTACGGATCACAGCTGCATATGACCGTGTTCCTGATTACAGTTATTTTTTTTAAGAGCAGGTCAAGAAGTTGATTTGTTAGCTTCACAGAGGTAGAAACAGAGTTGTCTCCTTCACACGAAGGCACATAAGAGATTAAGAACCAGAAGCAGAGTAGTCAGCTTCGCATGAAAGCGCTTCACAAGAGATGGAAGCAGATTTTTTAGCTTCACGTCAGTAGAATTATTGAGTACAGGAGAGTTTGGCTGGTGAGCTTCCCATAAAGTATCAACGTCTGACTGATGATCAAGTGGCGATGATACAGATTTTGGCCAAGTATTCAATGAAGTCAGGTCCATTCAAGCGCTTTTGTGTTTGAATGAAACTAGAAAAAAGAAGGGGTCCCCTGTTTTGCATCTTGAAGTTTAAAGCATTAGGCAATGGCATCAATTTAACTAGCACATGAATGCTTTTTTACCTTGCTTTCAAAATAACCACCACACACAAGCACTCTCAAAATTAGCTCAATGCTCTCCAAGCTTAATCAGAAAAACATTCGAGTAATTCCTGAGCACGAAATCATTGAAAAACAGATGAAAATTTAGGTAGTTGAAAAATTAAGGAAGGCGAAAGGCACGACTTTTACAACTGAAAACACAGAACTTAATTGGTGAGAACCTTTTAGCAATTGTTAAACCTTGCATGCATATGTGAGCCAACCTGCAACTTGACTCACATTTCTTATTGGCTAAAACAGCGAGCTCTCTGATTCCTCCTTATCACAATGCAGTAAAACAGGTACTATGTTAAGATTGGCTTAACTTCTAACTCATCATCTTATAGTTTCTCTCTTATCGGTTTTATTTTTACTAAAATGTCATACTTTTTTATTTTAAAATGTCTTAAAATATTTATCATTTTATTAAACTCAAATTTACTTTTAATCTCTTTTTTTTCAATGTTATTTTCACATTTATCAATATTTGGCACTAAATTCAAATTTAAAATTTGAATTTTCGAGAACAAGTTTAGAAACGAATCCCTTAACATCGCCGTCAAGTTATTTACTATTCTTAAAAAAATTTTGAATCCCAAAATGCAACGAATAATTTGGAGCGGAGGGAGTAATATTATAATTTCCATCAGTTTTGCATGTATACTCAAATATAATGATGATTTCTTAATAGAATTTTGGTACTTTGTATTGCATTTTGTTATTTTAAAATTAAAACGCATATTGCTTCTTTTTTTTTACCATTAAAAACTTTTGAAAGGTTTTTTTCACTTTCATAATAGATTAGTGCAAAATCATCACTGATTATTTTCCCCCCACAAACTCAATAGAGCAAAATAGTCTTATTGAGACAAAAAAAGGATTAATTAGTAGAGGGAAAAAAATTGTACAAAAAAACAATTGCTAACTGCTAATGATATAAATACACACCAATTAAACATAGGAATATGGACTTGACTCAATTAAAATACTCCCTTCCTTCCGAAATTTTTGCCGCATTTCAGGATCTCTGCATTTATATTTTCAATAATGCAAGAATCTTAAATGATTTGGGTTAATGTTCCAGTAACACCCCTGCTTGGAGTTTCCAGGTGCTCATGCGTTTTTGAATAATAAAAGAATCACAACTTGTGACAAATTGAAACTGTTTTTGGCTCCTTGAAATCAAATTGAAATAAAGTAAAGGGTCAATTAGCACTAATCTCCAATTTTATTAGGGCACTTAGCCCACTTGAGTTTATTTTATCATCACTTAAAAAAAACACACCTCTTCATTTAAGGCTAGTTATTTCGTTTCTTGGTTCAAAATAGAGATGCACAATAATAGTCTCCTCAGGTTCTCAAAAATCAAGCTTGTGATCTCAAGTTAATCGAACTTTTATTTTTTGAAGAAGATAATAATCATTGAATTATTGAAACTTCTACTCCCTCTCTCCATTGTTAATGTTGTTTGCATAGTCATCAATTGGCTCCAAATTATTTGGTTGTAGCACAAACATAATTTCCAACACGCCTTTTTATCTTTTCAATTACCTTTTAATCTCACACACATCACATCATAAAAAGTGTTACAGTAATTATTCCAAATAATATTTCAAATAATTTCCTATCCAAACACACTAATTTATGTTTTTACCTTTTTGCTGTCCCAAAATAAGAGTTTCATAACAAAAGTCAAACAAATTTCAATGCTGATTTCCTTTTACGCCCTTCACTAATAATGATCAGATTCCATCAATTAACAATAAACAATTCCATATGGCCAACCATAACACATGCACAGTTTCAGAATGCCTATGACCTTGTATTTATTTGGCTGGTCTCCATATTCAAACGTGGATAAGACCGGAAGAATCTGAAAATTGCAGCTCACAGTTTTACTGCATAAAAAGTGCTACTCGTAAAAATGTCCCAATTTTTCAGACAAGAGGAGTATTAATTTACTTTGTTTAATTTGTAAATATCATTAAGAATTGAGACCTTAAACTTTACATAATCAAGAATGTTGAGTCCAATATCATATGGGATTAATATGTCATCCCCATTGTACATCCTAGTATGTTTAAAAGAAATTGTAATGAATGAACATTGGTTTAGAATAACTTGAATAATGCAAATGAGAATGGCTCTCGAGTTCGACACCTCCTATTTACATTTAAAAAAAAAATAATAATCTTTTGGGAGGAGAGGAAGGGGTTGGGTGGTATGGGAAGAGAAAATGTAAGTGAGAAGTTCTGAGTTCGAGATCTTTCACTTATACTAAAAAAAAAAAACTTGAACAATGCATTTTTTTTTAATCCTATCACAAAATAAAAATTCCCTGTTTTTGTTAAATTGTTGGACTAAGGACGCTGAAAAAGAGTAACTTGAATGGATTTAAGAGGTCTCAATTATTATTAGGTCTAATTGCTTGAGACTATTTGTGGCGAAGATTAACCTTGACATTCATTACAACCCAAGTTCATGCTGATATTGTACATTCATTGTGTCAGAGGTGTACATGAATTACCCCATGCATGACCCACAATCAGTGTTGTGGTAGGAAATGGATTCCTGGCAAATTTGAGTAATTAAATTTTGTATGCCAAAGTCAATTCATTGCAAATTCAGTATATAAATCATATGTTACCACAAGAACTTAGGCACATGTGAGTTGTTATGGGGCACTAGGAGTGTGGAACCTGTGCCGAACCTGTGCAATAATAAATACCTACTCGAGAAAAATACAGATTTTGTATATAGCGGTGAGTAGGGTCGAATCCACAGGGACTGGGGATAATTCGTTTCTTCTAGAGTCCAAAGTATGGGGGTTTTTGGATTAAATACTAACTAAATAAATTAACTGCAGGAAATAATTGATTAAGAGAAATAATTAAGAGAAAACTCTAGCCAAGGGTACACTTCAGAAATGGTTCATGCACTGATCATTGATGCAGAAATAATTCCAACATTTAGTAATAGATTAGTTATAGTTGTCATGCACGCGATAAACAACCAACCCTTCCTTAATTTTTCGATAGCTAAGGTACGACCGTTAGCTATTTCTCTAACCCAAAAATAACCCTAGGTACGACCGTAGGATTTAATTTCTCGATTGCATTAATAATTAGAAAGGCCCAATCCTAACCAACAAACACGCTACGAGGGTTTGTTTAAGCTAGATCATATGCTCCCCTGACATAAATCAAATTACGCCAGTTGCTACTAAGATAGAGATAACGAACAATTACGGATTCAATTACCTTTATTTAGCAAAATAGCCTATATGAATAATTAATTATTGCGCACTAATCAATCATACATAAGGACCATAACAATTAAAAACAGGAAACACATAAATACCAATAAATGAGGAAGCGATTAAAATAATTTCGATCTCACAGTAATTGTTGAACCAAGTCTTCAGTTGTCCCCTTGACTAGAATTAAGAGGTTAGTCCTCCATTAATGGAGAACAACCATGCCAAAGAGCTAAGAGAAGAAAAACTAAAACTATGCTAAAAGCCTAAACTAAAACTATTGATTGATAAGAGTTCTCTGTACGTTTTGTCTCCTCTTTAAAGCCAACAATGACTAAAACTTCTTATCCTTGTGGTCCCCTGCTGAAATTGAGAATCAAACCAAAAGTGGGGCTCTACCGAATTCCTTGCTTTTAGTTTTCTATTGCCCGTAGGACTCCAATCTCCTAATCAGCAAAGGAAATGCAATCTCTTTGTAGCACCATGTGGGTCCGGTTGTTTGAAATCCCAATTATCTCCAAAAAGTCCCTCATTTCTGTAGTTTTCTGTTTCACTTCCTGAAATCGAGTCCAATACCAAATATAAGTAAATATTAATAATTAAAACAATATTTGGCGAGGATAAAGGGAAAAATTAACAATAAAATAACCAACAATTAACACCCTATCAATTTCCCTCACACCTGAACCATACTTGCCCTCAAGCATGAGAACAACAATTGGACACCGAAATTTAATAATGGCTATTGCTCCAAATACAGTATTGCCAAGATACCCAGAAAAACATATATCAAGTTTCACAAGTTAAGATCCGAGAAAAATCACCCCGGTTAGCTTCCCAACCACCAACTCCTCCAATTTAAAGCAAACTAATCTAAGAAAAAGGAATGGTTGCTCACATTTATCAGCAAATGGTCCAACTATTAACCAAAATCTCGACATTAAGATCACAAACTGGCAAGCTGACTTATTCACATACTAACACAAT